AAAAAAGATTTTTAGAGAGATGTTTAAATGAACTGAGGTTTTTTCTCTACTGTATTCTTCCTCTCTGGAAAGCCTGCTAATCATTGTTCCATTTCCTGGATTGATTTTTTTAATGGCTAAGTCTTTTCTTTAATATTATGTATAGCTTTATATCTTGCTTTATTTGGGGTACATTTCTTACTGTTGTGACATCGTGAATTCCTTCCCCTTTCTTTGGTAGTATGGCAGACAGCTAAGTTAGTTAGAAATTATTATTAGGTAGTTAGACAAAGCTGAGCCCTCAGCATAGAAAAACAATTAAGGGCTGGGAGTGGTGGTTCATGCCTGTAATCCAGCACTGAGGAGGCTGAGGCAGGAAGATCTTTGTGAGTTCTAGACCTGGGCTACATAGTGAGTTCCAGGTCAGTCTCAATGACATAATGAGACCTTGTCTCAAAAAACAAAAACAAAAAACAACAACAAAAAAAGAAAAACAATTAAGGCACATTCTCTGCCTAACACTATAAAAAGAAAAGAGACACTACTTCCCTTCAAGATGAATAACACTGACTCATATTCTAAATAAACATCAATCTCCCTAGCCCATTCCCTTTCCAGAAATTCCTTATACATGATTTATTTTCCCATTTGATCCCCCCATTAAATCAATATTACCTGGGCAACTGTACTTGTAATCCTATTGTTTGGTTATGATTTTGTCCCACCTCAGGCCCACCTTGTACTTTTCCATTAGGTCTTACAGTTTGGTTTCACTTTGTATGGGCCTCAACTCATGGCTTTGTCCTATAAAACACCTTGGAAAAGTGGTGAATGGGCAACCCATTTTCCAGTTCCCCTTCTGTCACTCTTAGACAGAGCTTTCTTTCTCCCAATAAATTTTTCCCACTCTTCCCCTCCTTTGTTCCCAGCAGTCATTCTTTGATTTTAGAGAGCATGAATTCATTTTGGGATATCTAGTAGGTTTGGGAGTTACATCTGTTCCCCTATGCCAGTAGGATGCAGAACATATGCTGTGGTCTTCCTTTTAAAGATCTTATAGACCAGTCTAAGACTCGTGTCCTCTGGACTAGATGGCTGAGGGCAAGAGAGGCCAGAGTCAGAGTCCATCCCCACCCCAGTCGAGAGAAGCCTGGATCATTAAGCTGTTGTATCCAGCATAGCTTGAAGCAGGAGTTAAGTCTATTACAGGAAGAACCGCTCCCTTCAGTTCCACATAGAGTTGGTCTTCAGCATGCACTCAACAGATAAGTGTTAATGAATGAATGAAAAAATAAATGCTTACGTGACTACAACTTCATTCAGCTTGAGGAATATAGTGGGGTTTATGGGTGCACAAAAGACTATAAAGAAAGCAAACTGAAATCAACAAAACGCACCAGCCAGAGTGATAAAATATACATATCAGATTTTGGGCATTGTGGCTAAACGTGTCACAGATTGGCAAAATAAAGAAATGACAGCAGTAGAAAAATATGAAGACTAAAAAGGGAAGCCGTGATACAAATCAAATATAAATTCCAGAAATAGTCATCGATTAGAACACAATATTCAACAAAAATGTATTAGAAATGTCCACACTTGATGAAATTCAAGAGTACTTAGACTGAAGACATAAAATGAGACAGAGTACAAACAAATATTATTTGATCTTTCTGGTGAAAAAAATATATATAGAGAGAGGGAGACTATGGATAGATACTTTTCTGGGGGGGCTTGTTTTGTTTCTTGAGACAGGGTCCCACTATGTAGCTGAGACTGACCTGGAAATCACTATGTAGCCCACGCTGGTCTTGAACTCACAGTGATCCTCCTGCCTCAGCCTCCCAAGTGCTGGGATTACAGGCGTGCGCCACTACACCGGCCTAGAACACATACTTTTAAAAAGTAACTATAGACAGATTTCAGGGGCTGAGTGCTGCTCTGTAGCAGGGCGCTTGCCTAGTGTAGGCAAAGCCCTGGGTTTAATCCCCAGAACCACAAATATAAACAAATAAATAACAAAGAGAGAAAAAAATTATCCTACTAAAAATAAAAATGTCACTGTGCACAGACTTCTTGAACAAATAAGTTCTACACCCACCTACCTATTATGTAACATAATAAAGATATTTTAAGGCAGCGAAGCTAATAAATATTTGTAACCAGCAGGCCATCCCTAAGAGAACCACTTAAGAGTCTACATCAAAAAAGAACAAAACAGTGCTTAAAAGAGAAATGGAAGATGACAGAAGCAATGATGATCAAAGAACTCCACAAACACGATTAAATCTAAATAAATACTTTTGATAGAAATAATAACAACTACTTTTAGCACAAAAGAATGTTTGATCTAAAACAGTCAGCAAATATAACATGAAAGACTACTTTCTAACATGCACTCATTACAAATCCAAGAGCATTTTATAATTTGAGAGATGTATAAAGACACTGGTTTTTAATTTTAAAAATCAAGTACGTATTCTAAATATGTAAGGTCATATCTACATGGGTTTGATTACAGAAACTAAAAAGTATTCTCTAAATAATGAAAAAAAGAATAAGAAGACTACAAGAGCAAGAAGCAATTTATATATGTTAAGGGACCATTTTCATCTTCAGAATTAAGGATTATTTTAATCTTACATCATTGCCTTTTCTCTTTTACTTTCCCTTTTAGTTTTATTTTAGGGTTCCCTATTTTTAATGTTCATACAGAGATTTCTTTAATTGAAATACCGAATAGTTTCTCTGGTGTGGAAAACTATAATAGTACACAGGATCCTAATGAGACAATAATGTGAAGAAGGAAGTAAAGGGCTAAAGGTATAGGGAAAGTGGGAAGGGTGGGGGAAAGGTAATAAGGGAGAGGAAAAAAATATGAGAAACTGAAAAAATGGAAATAAAGTGTTTGTAAATGGGGAGGGGGGGAGGGGGTGAAGGGAGAGCAGGAACAAGGGGAAAAAATGAGAATCAAGACCTATTATGTAAAGGTACAGAATCCCAATGATGAATGTAACTGTATTGTATACCTAGATTGTACCAATAAACTCAATAAAAAGAAAGAAAAACATCAAGTACGTATTTTCCAAAGCAATGTAACTTTAAATTTTGCATTCAACTTGTTGTGAGTGAAAGAATGAAATGCCACTGTTCTGATAGAAGCCTGGAAAAGTTCAAACACATGCAAATGTGGAACGAAATAAGGAAGTAGGAATAATTCCAAATATATCCCTAATCGTTATCCAAACAAAGAACTAATGGGTTAAAGCCATGTTAAAACTCAGATTTAGATTGCTAACCCTAGAACTCCTTTTATTCTTTTTGCAGCCCTGGGAACTGAATCAGGGTCTTTGCACCGAGCTACATTCCCAGTCCAAGGTTTTTATACTTTGTAATATATTCTTTTCAAGTTGTTAAGGAGTTTACTTTCTAACAGGAAGAGAGATAAAAACAGTGAATATTTTGGGCGGTGATGATGGCTTTAAAGGAAAACAATCCAAAAAGCAAGCCCAAAACAAGATTGTGGGTTATGAGGTACCTAGAATCTGGTCAAGAAAGTGCTGTCTGAGCTGGTATACCATTTATATCGAGACAGGGTCTCTGTGTTGTCCAGGCTGGTTTTAAACTAGTGACTCTCTTGACTGAACCTCAAGATTATGGGATTATTGCTGGGATTATGGGTGTGTATCACCACTCCAGGCCTAATCCTAGGATTTTAAATACCTAAAATTTTAAACAATGCAAATGTAAAAGTGATGAGGTAGCAGCATCAAAACAACACTGGAGCCAGTTTGGAGGTTTGGTTTAATGTAGGTAGCTTGAGTGCAAAAAAGAAAACAATAATTGCAGCCACAGCTCTACTAGACCAAGCATGAGTACTAGACCTCACTTCCTGAGGGAGTGAATGAATCAGTGAGCTGAATGGATGAATAAATGAATGAATCCGTGGATCAGTGGTGGGACTTTAGGGTGTACCTGGGTGGTGATGGCTGGGCGGTTTGATCATATCAGTTCTCTTTAAATATCCAGTCTCTCACCATGAGGATGCATTTGGCAGACTGCACTTCAAGTTGGACTGAAAATGGGCTCCGCACGGAAGTTCACCACCGGTAAGCAGGGGAGGAGGCAGAGAAGGTGGGGAAGGGGCAGAAAGTGGGGCTTCAGTGGTCTAAAAGCATCCCACAATCAAAGGAGCGAGATTAAAAGCTGCAACTCTCAGCTCTATGCACATTGGAAGGAAGATGGAAGAGGGTGGGATGACGCATTGAGGACCCAAGTGCAAACAAAATGCCAGGCTGCATCTGGAAATCAGTGAGTGTGTGGGCCAGGCAGCTGCTCAGCCAGGCTCCCACACCTCTCCAATTGGCCCCAGTCCACCTGAGCCCCATCAGCGACAATTCTGTATGTTCATTCACTGCAAAACATCAGACCTGGATCAGTGCCCACTTGTGGAAGGTGGGCCATGACTGTACGCTCCTGCTGGCAGTTCCACCCAGGCTCACCATAGAGTGTTTAAACTGTGTAAATAGGAGTCAGTGGGTCAGACCTGATGAATTCGCTATGTGACCTTTCTGGCTGCCCAAACCTTGAGAGCTTATGTCTCATCTGCTGTCAGGAATCAAACTGTGTATGGAGATGCCTCAAAGAGCCAGGGCTAGAGGTTCCATTTGACCCAGCCATCCCTCTGCTGGGTATCTTTCCGAGAGAATTAAAATAATCATACCACAGTGATATATGCGCACCTATGTTTATAGCAGCACAGTTTGTAACAGCTAAAACTTGGAAACAGCCCAATTGCCCATCAGTTGGAGACTGGATAAAGAAGTTGTGGTTTTTCTATAAAATGGAATGCTGCTCAGCCATAAAGAATGAGAAATTAGAGTCATTCATAGGAAAATGGATACATTTTGAGGATATACTCCTAAGTGAAATAAATAAGTCACACACGTGTAAATACTGAATAGTTTCTCTGGTGTGAATAAACTATAATAGTACATAAGATCCTAATGAGATAATTGACAATGTGAAATAGGAAGAAAAGGGCTAAAGGTGTAGGGAAAGTGGGAAGGGTAGGGGAAAGGTAATAAGGGAAAAGAAAAAACTATGAGAAGATGAAAAAATGGAAATAAAATGTTTGTAAATGGGGAGGGGAGGGGGGTGAAGGGAGGGCAGGGATGGGGGAAAAAATGAGAACCAAGACCTGTCATGTAAAGGTACGAGAACCCAATGTAACTGTATGTATGAATGTAACTGTACTGAATACCTAACAGGTACCAATAAACTCAATGAGAGGGAAAAAAAAGAACAAACTGTGTATGTGAAGCATCTGGGTGTTTGACAAATCTGATAACATACCGTACAATATTCTACTGTTCATACTGTAACTGCATCCTGTCACTACTACATTTTCTCCATGGATAGTGTTCGAGCACAGGTGCTTTAGTTAAGTGTACTTTCTTTTTTTTTTTTTCCCCCAGTTTTTTTGTCTCATTATGCAGTTCAGTCTGGCCTTGAGTTTACTATAGAGCCCAGGCTGGCCTCAAACTCATGGTGTTCCTCGTGCCTCAACCTCCCAAGTGCTGGGATCACCATGCTCAGGCCCTAAATTTACTTTCAATCAAGTGCCAGACTCTGGCCCATCCTCTGCTTTCCACACTTAGGATCTCAGAAGCTCTTCACATTTTTTGTTTTGTTTTGTTTTGTTTTTTCATTCTTGAAGTTCTAGTTTTCTTGTTTATATCATTTTCTCTTTAGCCTGAAAAACTGTTTTTAACATTTTCTAGAACAAAACTATTGGCCAAAAATGTTTCCAGCTCCAAACAGTATTTTTATTTTACCTCAATTCTTGAAAGATATTTTCCCTGGATATCAAATTCCAAATTGACAGTTCCTCTCAGTGTTTTAAAGCTCTCATTCAGCCTTGTCATGGTGGGACATGCCTGTAATCCCAGCACTCTGAGAAGCTGGCACACGAGCATTGCAAGTTGGAGGACAGCCTTGGAAACTTAGCAAGACCCCATCTCAAAACAAAGCACGAAGGGCTGCTTGTGAAACTCAGTGGTAGATCACTTGCCCAGTGAGGCCAGTGTGAGGCCCGAGTTCAGGAAATCCTAGCACAGGGAAAAAGCCATTTTCCAGCCAAAGTGGAAGAGTTGGAGTGTAACCCTTCCTTGCCTGAGGTCAAATAGCAAACTGTGGCACTTGAAAACATTGTTTTCCAGAGAACGGATGACCTGATTAACACCTGCTTTCTCTTTTAGGCCTTTCATCCCATATTTCCGAGAGCCTGAACGGAATGGCCCCAGAATATCCTCAGCTGGACTGTTTCCTCAGCCAGAATTATGGTGGCAGGAATTTGATACCACAGAACCCAAGCCATCTCAGTGAGTAGACCCTCCTTTTTTCCTCCCACCCCTCTCCTGTTTGTTCCCCTGGGGTTCTGTACTTGCATTTTGCACTTGCTTGAAAGCTGCTATTGTTAGTTGCATCATATTTCCAAAAATTCTATTCAAAATCTTCCCATCATTAAAACAAGCCTTTAAATTTCAAATCAGAGGGGCCTTGGCCCCATGACTAATTCAAATTAGGGTGGACATAGGGCAAGGCAGAGTATTTTCCTGGAGAGAAGGTCTGAAGTATAGGAAGACAGAAACAGAGAAGCTCTCTTCAAGGTAAGAACATTGTAGGCCAATATCATGTGAAAATGGCAAAAAAAATGAAGGTATTTAGATAGAGTATAAATGGGTACAGGATTTATTTACACAAATTAGATCCTACTATATCATTCTGAAAAATGTATTTGTCATTTAATAATGCACCCTGAGATTTGCTCATGTGCCAAGCACATAGTTTATATTTTTAAAAATATATGACCATACAAATGTGGCTTCTATATACTAGCAATAAAAAGAAATTAAGAAATCAATTCCATTTACAATAGTATCAAAGATAATAAAAATCAAGGAATAATTTTAATGAACAACATGAAGAAATGGTACACTGAAAACTATGAAATGTTTTGCTTTGGTACCAGGGATCGAACTCAGGTCCTTGCGCTTGCAAGGCAGGCGGCAGAACCACTGAGCTAAATCCACAGTCCTGAATACTCTGAAATATTGCTGAAAGAAAATTAAAAAGACCGGTGTATGTAGATGGAAGATTCAGTGCTGGTAAAATGTCAGTAACATCCAAATGATTTACAGGTTTAATAGAATCCCTATGTGGGTGTGGTGGTGCTCACTCGTAGTCCCAATAGGAGGCTCAAGCAGGAGACTCAAAAATTCAAGCTTAGCCTGGACAATTTAGCAATTAGCAAGAAAGACCATGTCTCAAAATAAAAAATAAAAGGAGGAGGCTGGGTTCAATTCCCCAGTACTGCGGGGAAAAGGAAGTGTGATCCTTATAAAAATTTCAGTGGTGCTTTTTACAGATTGAAGAAGGAAAAAAAGAAAAAGGACAAGTGTGGCGGCTCACACCTGTAATCCCAGCACTCAGAAGGCAGAGGAGGAGGATCCTGAGTTGGAGGCCTGTCTGAGCTACATAGCAAGTTTATGGGATTTTAAGGGATCCCAAGTAGCCAAATCAGCTAGTGATTTAGCTCAGTGGTGCCACAAGCGCAGGGTCCTGAGTTTGATCCCTGGAACTGACAACAAACAAACAAACAAACAAAAAATGAGCCCAAATAGCCAAATCATCTTGGAAAACAACAAACAGATGTGGAGGTCTCACATTTTCTAATTTCAGTTTTTATTACAAATTGCATTAAGTTTATTGGTACATTTTAGGTATTATAATATACACCACATTGTACTATGATGACATTCATAATTGGGTGAAACTTTACCTGATAAATCTTGGTTCTACAGTAATCAAACCCTATGATATTGGCATAAAAAGAGAGAGGATATGTAGACAAATAGAAAAGTGGAGAAATACATTGTGGATATGGTCACATGATGTTAAACTAGAGCTCCAATACCACCCAATAAGGTGATCTCTTCAAAAAATGGTGCTACATGCACATGCCAGATAACAAATTTGGAACCTTACCTTTTCTCTTTTTTGAGATAGGTCTTGCTCTATAGTTCAGTCTCCTTTTGAGCTCATTATACTATGTAGGCCAGGCTGGCCTCAAATTTAAGGTAATCCTCCTGTCTCAGCCTCCTGAGCGCTGGGATTACAGGTGTGCACCACCATGACTGGTTTAGACTCTCACCTTATAATGTATAAAAATTAACTCAGAATGGTTCAAAGACCTCAGTGTAAGCGTAAAATTAATATTCTGAGGGGAAAATGAGGGAGAGAACTTCGTGGCATGGGACTTAGCAATGATCTTGACTTTCTTGAATCTGGCCCCCAAAACACAGACAAAAAAGGAAAAATTGAAAAATCAAACTGCTTTCAAATTCAAAAATCTCTGTATCAAATGGCAAAATCAACAGAATGAACTTGAATATTATGTAACTCAAACTCTGCAGTGCTTCCCATGTGCTGGGATTACATGATGGGCACAGGTAGTGGTTTAAAGGTATTAAATTGCTCTCAAAACTTGCACCAGTGTATAGACCCATTAATATTAAGTAATGATATGAATTCCTCTATATTCAGTAATTATTGATCTATAACTAAACTCTTGCCAATCTTTTGACACAACTCATTGCATTAATTTATATATTATGAATTACGAGTGAAGTTAGAGGGTTTTTTTTAGCTTTTTTTTTTTTTTTGAGACAGGGTCTCACTATGTAGTTGAGAATGACCTGGAACTCACTATGTAGCCCAATCTGGTCTCAAATTCACAGGATCATCCTGCCTCAGCCTCCCGAGTTCTGGGATTACAGGTGTGCACTACCACACCCGGCTTTTTTAGCTTCTTAAATTTAATTTTACTCTCATCTTGTTTTACCCATGATACAATTAGTTTTTCCTGTTGTTTCTGTACAAATTCCTTTTAAAAATGATATGAATCTTTTGTCTTCATATATATAGAGAGCTTGGGGTCATGTGTGCATTGTTTTTTATTTTTGTACTATTATTATTGAAGCCAAGGACTTTGCATATGTAGTAGGTTTTGAATAGAAATTTACTGAAGGATGTGAAAAGCCCTTTACAGAAACATTTAGGGGTTGGCAGAATAACACATGCCACGACAAGGGTTGTTAATCGCTACACCTTACATTGTACATGGCTAAGAATTTTGCAGAAAATCCCTAGCAGAATGTTAATATGGAGGGCTAGGGATTTAGCTCAGTAGTGCTGCTGCCTGCTTTGCAAATGCAGGGTCCCGAGTTTGATCCCCGGTACCGTCCCAAAAAAGAACGTTAATATGGAAACATAGGAGCCAGAACATGCCAAGAACCAAGTGAACAGAATAAAATACAGAATTTTTTTTTTTTTGGTTTTTTGAGACAGGGTCTCACCATGTAGTTGAGACTGACCTGGAACTCACTATGTAGCACACGCTGGTCTGAACTCACAGCGATCGTCCTGCCTCAGCCTCCCGAGTGCTGGGATGACAGGCGTGCACCACCACACCCGGCTAAAATACAGAAAATTGAATGTATGAGATCTGATTTAAAAATACTGTGAATGTTTAAAATGTGTTTTAGAAATTTATTACAGCAAAGAATACATTATCATTAATCTCCCTTAAAGCACTCCCCTTGTTTCAACCGCACTTATCCCATCTTTGTACCCACTTTCTGAAGCAGTTCTGGAAGGTTTTCTTTTGTGTGTGTTTTTAGTTGTGCTGCTGTGGGTGCCTTGGTGTCCTGAATTGAATCAAAATATTTACCTCTCGTGGTAATTTTGACTTTGGGCAAGGGTCAGTCAGATCCAGTGAATAAAGTGCATGAGAACATACCGCAATGTCGACCAGCCTGCCTCTCCTTTAGATGTCACTGGACAGCAGCATTTACCGTCTTTCTGATCACACCCTGTAAAGACACTCATGAAAGAAGGCTTCCAGAACTGCTTCAGAAAGTGGCGAGGACAATGGGATAAGTGTGTTCAAGGGAAGAGTGAATATTTTGATGAGGATTGGCGGCAATATGTCATTTGTTATAAATTTTTAAAAAAGAATTTAAACATTCACCATACATTTCAATCATACCACATATGATGAAGATTGAATGTATATATCAGTTAGCCACTTCTATTTACTATAACCTCAGTGGTTAGTATAGTATTTGCAAAAACATTTAAAAGGAAAATATAAAATGTAATGCAAATGCTCCTTTAAAAGTAATAGTATCATCTGAACCTTATATTCTTCCAATATGTTGGAGTGTTTTATAAAAATTTTTTTTCAGAGACAAGCCCTCCATTTTTAATTTTCTTGCAAATATGATTTATAATTTGTTGCACTATTTTCTTACTCATATTCTGTTTCGTTTGCTACCTGCACCCATGGGACTCTGAATAGTACCTATTATAACAAGGACCCATAATTGCACCATAAAAAATGGTCTGCAGGCCAAGTATGTAGCTCAGTGGTGCTGTGCTTGCCTAGAAAGGGCAAGATCAGTACCACACACACACACACACACACACACACACACACACAAGGTCTGCATTTTGACTTAGTCCTGATAACTGTACAGTAATTTGGTTTACTAATGAAAGTTTTGAATAAAACTGTGAAACTAGAAGAAAAAGGTCTGCATTTTTTCCTGCTGTTCCTTCCAACTACATGCTAAGTAAATCAATACATAATTTGACCTCATGTATTAAAAAATAAGATAGAAGAGATGAAAATGAGCTACATGGTAATTCCTCCTATAGGTTCCAATCTACCTTCTGTCTTTGAGGTGGTCATACTTTTATATGTACATAAACCATAAATTTGTAGATTTTAAAAACTTTTTCCTATGTTACATAGAAAAATAGTAAGAATTAATATTGTACTTTTCTTATTGTTTATCTTTTTTACTTTTATCCTTTAGGAATATAGTTTTTAAAATTTATTTTTTAAAAAAATTTACATATTTTATTGACAATATTTTCCCAACAGGCAGTTTATATGCAAAGGCAATTAACTTTTAGAAGATCAGTAGGGTCATAGCTAGTAAGTTAATTATCACAAATGTGATGAGTGGTGCGTACATAATGATTACTCGTGGAGTTGGTACCTGTACGAACACATCTTAATTCTTTCTTCATCTTTTCCACTCCCCCTCTTTCCACAGCCTCCGTTCAGGAGAGCCAAACGCTTTAAGTATGAGAGCTTTATTTATTAGTTAGAAAGTACTCAAAAAAAATAAATGAATGAAATAAATAATATACATATAATATGACATATGTTATTCTAGTGTTTATTATTACTCTGTTTTGTTCTGTTTGCAGTACTGGGGATTGAACACAGCACCTATGCATTGAGCTACAT